ACTCCAATTAGGAGGTTTCTTGGGTTAGAAATCTGTGACCTACAATGAGTTGTCATAGAAACTGATACCAATGTTTCAGCTCAAAAATCACTTTAAAATAAGGGGTTAGTTCATCATCTCATGCAGGTGACATAGCTCCTTTGAATCCAAGATCTGGAGTCTGTCACTATACCAAAAATCTTCTGCCAACCCTGGGTGACAGGGAGAGAGTATTTTACTTGTCTTTTTTATGTATGCTGCAATTGCCTGCAGTACAGATATGGGGATATTCCCAGAGCAGGAGGATGGACTAGAAAGGCAATGGAGGGAGCTAGAGAAGCTGTCTGAAGCTGTCACTGGGAGCAACCAGAAAGCAGGCATGGCCAGTGTGTAAGTGGGAAGCTGGAACATGTTAATGCATATGTGTGCCTTTCATTTTCTATGTACTACCTCCAAGAACTGTGCCCATTTCCGTGGGACAATTTTTTCAGACCTCTCTCTGTATCCATCTTGTGCTGCAAGGAAATTGTAAAGCCTTTGTTGTAATCTGTAAAAGAGGGACATTGCGGGGAGCCTGGCAGTGTGTACCTCCCCTGCCACGGCTTGTTTCATGGCTCCCTTTCACTCACACGTTCTCCCTTCATAAGACTGCCATATGCAGGCTCCTGGAGCTAACTTCTTGCTCCATTGTCAACCAGAGCTGGTTGAGGAGCTCTGGGCAGTCCATGGCCACCTTGGATCAGGGTTACACTCACTTCTTCTTCAGTGCTGCATTTCTCTTTCATATTCTTTCTCAGCATATGCAGGGCCCAATAGGAGAGGTTGCTGTGTTTGTCACTAAAGAAGCTTCTTTCTTTTCTTCTGATTTTCCAGCTATGTGATAAAGCCCCTGCAGCTTTAGAGCCTTTAGAACAATGAAAGGGTAACAAGTCCTCTGTTCACCTGCAGAGAGAGGAGTTGATGCGGTCATATAAGACATGGAGAGCCAGAGAGATCAGCTGGAATGGGACCAAATTAAATGCATTTGCTCTGCAATGTTCCATTAATGCCAAGTAATTACCACATACAGTGGGATTTTTGTTTTGTTTTGTTTTGTTTCATTTTGGCACAAGAGAATTCTTTCCAAATATGAATGTATGAGGCTGTCCGGGCTGCTGGGCTCTTAGGTAAATTATAACAAGCCTTCCCTATTCCCATATGTTCCTCTCTTTTCCTTCTGCCATTTGAAAAGCTGGCAGTACAAAGATGGGAAATGCAAATGTGAAGAGGAAGTCTCATTCCCAGTGGCAGTGATGCTGGTTCTGCCACTCATGTGCAGACTCCTGGCCTGACTTCTATCCCCAGGGTGCTGCCTTGGCAAATTCAAAGTCGTCCAAAAATGGGTAGCAGAAAAATGTTCCAGCTAGAAGAAAATTTTCATTGGGGCATGAAATTCTCTTGTGGTTGAATGTGCAAGCACTGCCCGATCCCTGTGCAAGCACTGGCACCCTGATCTCTGAGAGGAGTTCTGCCACAATCCAAAAAAAATTACTCAGGTTGCCATGAAATTCCTATACTAACCTTCCATACTGCTCACTAGGGACTGTGTTGAAAGAGGGATGGAGAAGGGTCAGAGAGATGCAAAACTGCTGTATGACAGTTCTTGTATTTTAGGGCCTAGTCAGCAATAAATGTAACTATTCTCAACAGAGTCCACACTCTCCTCTCTGCTCAGTGGGCTATAGTGAAGAGCTGGTAATTTTCCTTGGTTTTATTTTGGTGAGTGTCTGGAGAAAAAAAAAAAAAAAAAAAGCTTTAAGGTCTATTGCTACTCTGGATTTCCTTTCACACATACTGTCCCAGTCCCGCAAATCCCCAGGTCCCAACTTAAGGCTTCCAAAATGCTCTCTGGGAGGTGGGTCAGGACCTCTGCCTAAAGACCGCCGTCATCCCCTGTAGGCTGATCATTCATGGAAAAGCATTGCACAGCACAGTGAGGTGAAGCTTACTCCACATTTGGAATGTGGATGGTGGCACCCCCTTTTTTCTCTCTCTCTTGCAGTGGCTCTCAAAAAAAAAAAAAAAATTATTTGCCACTTCATAGGAACCTCATTTTCCCACTTGATCCTCCCTAAAAAAACAGGCCTAAAACTGTCTGTATTGTGGATCCCAAGTGGGAGGACAGGATGAAATGGGGAGAAGGAGACTCCTTTCCAGCAGTGAATACTGTACTCATTCCCTTTCACTGCCTCTCAGCGGTCTGGGAGTGGGGCTGGTTCAAGGTTCACGTGCGTTCTGCTCCAGCCAGGGCCTGTGGCTGGTCTGCTAAGGCTGGTAGCTTTGAGGCACGGAAGAGGAGCATTTTTGCACTTCCTTTAGCTGCATTGTTTTCCTGAAATAACATGAAATGTTTTGTATGACTGTGCATCCAGGCTGGAGAAACACTTGAGGACGTCCTGTGCTTAGGTGATGCTGTGCCTTGATCATTCCTTCAAGTTCTCTTCTCTCTAAAAAAAATACACAATTTTAGGATAAGCAAAGAATTTCAATTTTTAGGTACAAAAGGCACATGTCAGCAATTGCGTGCTATAGACTGAACATGTATGGATGATATCAGCCAGTGCACAAACAGTGGAACATGCATGGGCAACAGCTTCTACACCGTGTATCTGTTCAGCAGTCAGCCAGGAGCAGTTGCCAAGACTGAAAAACAGCCATAGCCACTGGAAAACCAAGCAACGTAGAAGGACACGCACTCAGCTGGAGCTGTGGGGAGGTCTCTTGTTTCATAGCATCAAACAAGCATTGCTTGCTTTATAGGGAGCCACTACTTGCCGCTGAGCCCCAGTCCTCAGACAGGAGAACTTCAGTGCGTCTCCCCAGTCAAATGAGGTCTTCCCAGCACCCGGTTAATGAAACCAGTTGTAAGATGAGAACTATCCAGATGTCTGCTGAAGGAAAGATTATATCCCACAGTACTGTCTCATTAGTGTCCAGCTTTCCTAGCTTGCCTTAGGACTGTGGGCTCTTCACTCCATTTGACTGCTGGGGCTGGAGCATGTTCAGATTTGGCAGATGTTGACCATCTCTTGCCTTTGTCCAGGACTGCTGTCCTTGATGATGGCATTCAGGGGTTCTTTTCGTGGCCATTAGCTGGTCATTCACTGCCTCTGAAACATTTCCTTGTCACTCATCTCCTGCTTTTTAGTTATTATATGGCTAATAAGTCTTCTGTCTCTGGTTACCTCGAAACTTTGATTTCTATGAGAAAGATTTGGTAAAGCATCTTTTGCTTTGTCAGATGAAAATATGCACAAATCTGAATCATGCTGCTCCATTATCTAACAGATTGTTCGCCCATGGTTAACAAGGCCCACTTTAACATGCAGCATTCATCGTGTTAATAAAAGATTGGAGACCGATTGTTATGCTTTTTAAAAAGTGAGGGGGATGGAATCATAGGACTCAGTGATACAGTAAATGACCAGTACCTGCTTTGAATGTGTGCCATTTCGGAAGTCCCCTTTGGAAATATACGTTACACTCCCTGGGTGTCCTGTTACAGCGTGCTCTGGTTTTGCACAGAATTGACCTGCATTATTTACAAGTTGTCTCTAACTGATCATTCCAGACTTCTCTTCAGATCAGAGGAGATAATTTCCAAAACATTGTCATGCCTCTCATGTTTCTCTGATAGGGTAGAGACTGTCCTTCTTTACAGTGGTATAGAGGTAGAATTACACTTGCTTGCATGAGGAGTGCTAGAGGAATGTCTTAAAAACTGAAGAGGAAATGGCATGAAGATAAGGCTGCCTTCCATTATGTGTGTCACTGGACTAGACTGTCCTAACGCTGGTTCTTTTGCTGAGTTCAGTTTCTGCCCAGGGTAACTGGTTTTAGTGAATCATTGTGGCAAATGGCTGTTGTTTGCCTGACGCTCACGTGTGTTGTCGGCTGGCCGTTTCCCACAGGTTTGGGTTCTGACTGGGTACCGAAGCTGGCCGTTTTGCTTGCAAGGATTGAGCGCTCATATTTGGAGCTTTTATTAGCAGGACATCAAAGACTCATTTTGCCTACTCATAAGCAAAAATAAGAAAAGACCTTCATCTTTAGCCTGCCCTAAAGTGCTTCTCTCATCTCTGTGACTCTTTAAAAGTTGCAAATAAAAAAAATAAAAAAAAGCAAAGTCATCACAAATTTTGTGGAAGATTTTTGTCTTTGGATATAAAATCAAGTAAATGTAAGTTGTACAAAAGCACTTGAGTACTAAGAAGCAGATATGGGTACACAGTGGTGTTGGCTGTGGGTAATGGAGTTTAATAACTTAGTCAATATATGATACCTTTGATTTAAAGCAGGAGTTGCCATCCTGAAGATCATGACTGCCTGGCTCTTCCCGTGTTGCCAAATAATAAGAGAATCGAGCTTTGATGGAAAGGAGGGAATCCTCTTTCTTCCTTCCCAGTGCTGGCACCCTTAGTTACAGGCAGTGCTGGGTTGGAGGGATTTCTCCATCAGAGTTAATTACCCAAAATTATTCAAAGCCATATGCCTATGTAATCAACTCCTAATAGGGCCTTTTTGCAGTAGCATTTACACCAAGGATGTTTTCTCTAGATATCACTCATTTTGTTTCCTGTTGTTGACAGAATATATTGATGGTGTTGCCTCCTACCTTAAGGAGCTGGCATATGATGGAGTTTATCAGCCCTAAATCCAAGCTGAAATTCTCCTCCTACCTATTTCCCTCAGTCTCTCCCTCAGATTGTGTTGGTATCACTGGAAGTTGAAGATGTTCGTTTCCTGTCAGGGCAGTGCAGGCTCAAGCCTTGCATGCATCAGGAGTGGGCATTTGGGATATGGTCTCATGGATTGAAAGATTGAATCTTGGATATGTGTGTTCTGCTGCCTGGGACAGGAAAAAAAAAAATGAAATCAATTAAAATGTAATAGGTTGGATGATATGCTGGATACAGAACAAGTTTTGGAGTGGGAAAGCTGTTGTGGATAATTTAACTGACATTTTGATCCTCTCTTTACAGCCACAGGGACTTAAAACCAGAAAACCTACTGCTGGATGAAAAGAACAACATCCGGATAGCAGACTTCGGAATGGCATCACTGCAGGTTGGGGACAGCTTGTTAGAAACCAGTTGTGGGTGAGTGTCTCAGAACATATTGCAAAAATCAGTGATAGATTCCAGACATAAGAGTTGTCTATAGTAAGAGTTTCAATAAAGACCTGCAGCCTTGCACCATGCATTTTTATTTCCCAGCAAGATAATAAATTGGTATGATGCACGTAGTGTAGAAGATGGCTAAAAGAAGTTTTTTTAAGGTCATTACAGTGAAAAGCGGGCCTCTGTAGGTGTCACATATGGATACGAAAATCAAAGCTTTCAGGTTTGGATTCATCTGCATACGCTGGTGTGTGTTTGTTTTCACTGGCCGTATAATTTTGGGGAACTGAAAGCAGCAGTGTTGCCTGTTTTAAGAAGAGGCTTTAAAAATATTAGCGGGTGAAAAAAAAACTAATCTAGGGGTTCTGAAATGGAATTTGCATGTCCTGATTAGGCTGCCTTCTTGCAGCAATTCCTGTTCGCGCTCCACCCTGCTTCGTTACAGCTCACCTGCAGGATTGACAGGGAGGCAGCAGGGTCCTTTGCAATTACAAGCAGGGCATGAATGCAGATACAAAGCACACTGCTTGGATGAGTATTGCAGGGGAGATCTAAAAACATTTCCATGGCAATTCAGTTGCCAGCAAGAACTTTCTAGGAATTTCCAAGGGAGCCAGCAATTAAGCCCAACAGCTGAGCAAAGCCTGGGTCCCTGGCCTTGGGGCAGGAGGTGCTCTCTGGAGGCAATGCTGTCTCATCACCATCGCCTCTAGGGGCACAACTGGATCATGCCCCACACCCCCGCCGTAGCTATGGCTTGGTGCCGTGATGACGGTGCAGGGGGCTGCCGCAGAGAGCTGTGGCAAGGGCAGGCAGCAGCTGCATTGAGCTGCTGCAGCCTGGCACCACTACGCCAGCTTTTAGCTGTTTCTGCATTTGTTACAACAGCGAGCTCAGCAACTGGAGGTGCAGACAGTACCAGCAGATTTCCACCTCGTCACAGACCTACTCTTCCTGGCCTTTGGTAGTGTGAATCTGATGACTCCAGTCCAGCCCCATCCTCAGCTGGTTGCAGTCCGTGTTTTTTCAGTCTGTGCCCTAAGCCAAGGCAATTCGGGGTAGACGTGGAGTCATTGTGGTTCCCTGTACAGCCTAGCCACTGTGTCTCAGTCCTGAGCTGTACGGCTCTGCTTCCCAAGTCAGGAATAGCGGGTAGCAAAATTATTTGAAGTTCATGATGTGATTGAGTGGTGGTTGATGAGTACACTGAGACCCACCCATTCCTTCCTTGTCTATGCCAAGTCAAGATTTGACCTCTTAACAGCACAGATGAAAAGCAAGGAGCTGTGAGTCCCCACATCTGTTGCTTGCAGCTGCTTTCAAACCTCCCCTGTAGATTAGGAAACGAAGTTGTCCCTGCAGTTACCACAAAGCCTCTACACTCTTTAGATAAAATTTTCCCCCTTCTTTCCATGAAAAAAACAGTATAAAAACCAACCCAGTCTCACATTGCCCTGTAGGATTTTTCAAACTCCTTGGGAACTTCTCGGTAGGGTTCGTGTTCTTGTTAGCACTGGGCTCTGTCATCCAGGTCTAGAGTCTCAAAGGGAGACTTCCTTTCCGTAAGCGGTGCTGGAATTCAAACCTCCATGCTTCAAGCAGAGCCAGCCCCCACATTGTGACCTTAAAACGCGCTAATAAAGAAATCAATGGAACGGAAGAGACGCGCCTGTAATAAACAGAACACAGCAGCAACACTATGATCTCCTGCCTTGCAGATGCATTTTAAGTGTGGTGCCAATCACTAGGCCTCTGTGTGAGCTATTACACCACTTCATTAATTCTCCTGGCATGGAGCCCAGCATGGCTGATACTGGTGTCTTATGATCTCTCAGGTTTGGGGGTTGAAGGGAGGAAGGAAGGAAGGAATATATAACAATATGCCACACTATTCACAGGGAAAAGCAGTCAAGTTATGATTCCCTTTCCCTTGGAGCACACACAGTAACCAACCTCAGAGCTTTTCAAGGCAACAGTTTTACCTAGCCTTGTAGTTGGTACTTTCAGCCAGCATGAAAAGGAACAAAACACAGTGAATCATGGCTGAGATACTGAGCTTTAATGAGATGCTCCTCCGTGCACCCAGAAGTTAATTTCCAGAATGGTTTTATCTGTGCTGTGAACACTGATAATGAGATGAAACTGTAACATTTCCATTGACAGTCACGTAAGGAGTCTCCAGGTATTTCTGTCAATCAGAGCGGGAGGATCAGATGGGGTTGAGCTGTGTGATGCAGCTAACTTTGTCAGTACAGCAGAATGGTTAGAGTGCAGTCAAGAATTCTTTGCTGTCACGAATGAACTACTAAGTTTAGTCCAGAGTTTGGGTAGGCTTTAGGTCACCACAGAGCCTTGACTGGCCTCATGAGGATAAGCAGGCAGACTGAAGTATGCTGTATTGCATACCTCAGAGTCAGTGTTTTCTGGGAGCTACTCCTTCAATCTGCACAGTTTTCTGTAGCAGTGATGGCTACCTGCAGAAAACAATAAAAGTTCAATCCAGTTGTGTTTGTGTAGGAGAGGGAGGTAAGGGTGGACTGTTTCATTGACATAATTTGTCACTGACAGACTGCACATTGGGCCTTGATTGTAATGAATCCCCATTGCTGGAAGCGTATATTGCGCAAATCCTGCATATACACAGCACAGAGGAATAAGCTGTAGTTGTAAACATGTGTCTTTAGACCCTTGAGGGAAAGATGAGCTGTGTGTAGGGTCTGCAGGAATAACTCTGCTTGTGGAGAGACAGTCCTTGAAATGCCAAAGTAACACAGTGAGTCTCTGCATTCCTCCAGGAGCAGGGGAGGTCTGTGAGCAAACAGCAGACAAGGAAGGAAGCAGAAGATGTGGTAGGATGCTGCCTGTATTATTTTAGATCTCTTTGGCTCTCCCTCATCTTTACCCATCCAGGCGATGACATGCAGGGACACTCCCCTCTCTCTTTTCACAGCAGTTATTCCCAGCGTGCTGCCTCGCAGTGTTTCAGAATGGTAGATATTGTCCAATCCATCCTGAATTGTCACTAGGCAAGAAGAGTGAGTGCCTTATGGTTAAACCTCCGGACTGAGACTTGGGTGATCTGAGCTTGATTTCTGTCTCTGCTGAAGGCATTCAGGGCGGCCTTGGACAAGATGCATTACCTTTCTCTGCTTCTGTTCTCCATCTTAGCAAGTCATTGCAGTGCCCAAGTTGCTCTGAACATAAATTGCAGTCATTTCTATAGGAGTCTTGGAAAAGTAGGAAGGGTTGGGGAATTTTCTGGACCTTGTTCCCTTTTCTTGAGCTAAGAGGGCTTATGGCTAAAATGAAGGACTGAAAGAGGATCCTGTTGAGTTACAATTCTTGGGAGCTTATAAAGATCCTTGCTAATTCCCCATTGCTCCTTACAGAAGCCTGGCAAAGTAAATTTTTGTCATCTCTTCACTTTTTTTTCACTCATCACAGCTTCGAAACACCCGAGTCCTATTGGATGGAGATTGCTGGAAGCTGCCGGGAGATCGAGAAGCCACAGCAGTGCTAGTCTCTGTGCTGCCTGCCTCCAAATCTCTCTATCCCAACCAAGAGCTAGGACAGAGCTGACATGCAAACGTAGCTTGCTCCAGCACCAGACCCAATCTCTGCCTGCAGAGGCAGTCGGTATGGAGACTGACACCACTGCTGATAGCCCCACAATTACCTGACTGTATGCAACAGTTGCCCCATATAGGTGTCTCCATAGGGCACCCCTGCCCTGATCCAGAAAACTGTGTGCATGTGGGAAAAGCCGTGCTGATTATGATTTTATTGAGAGTGAGAAGAAAGCCTTGCACCTGTTGGTGGCATAATGGAGGTAAACAGCAACTTCCAGCCCCAGCACAGTTAGCTCCTCTGCTCTCAGCTCTCCCTAGCAGTTCCTAGCAACACTTTGCAGACCCACAGATTGCCTGGATCTATTGAAAAGAAAAAAAAAAAATCACATATCCTCGTTAAGACTGATTACTGGCTCTTTTTGATCTTAGGGTGTTTATAACAAGCAGTGCACTATGTGTTTGTTAGAAATGCTAGTAGAGATCATCTAGCTCCTGATTCCTTTCCATCTGTATGTGGTGTGTCAGCACACCTGTGATGAGCAGATAATTCAGAAGAGCAATATTCAGTTGCTACACACCTCAGTGTCCAAGCACCGTTTCTGATTTTAATGACAAAACAGGATGCTGCACATATTTTTCCCCCTTTATAATAAATGTGTGCGTGCTGTCTAAAACATATGCAAGTGTCCTACATCCAGTTATTGTTAAGGTTGAAAATTTAGGCTCTTAAAATTGGAAATGCCAGAATTAGTACTTTTTACCCCATCTCATCAACAGCTTTGATTCCCAGCACTCTGTTCCCATCTCCTACCCTGATTTGCACTCTAGTCTTGACAACTTCCCTCAGTCATTTCTGCTCCATATTTGGTCCCCAATCCCAGATCCTTTTCTCTTTTCCACTAGGTTCCAGCTCTAGTTTTTCCTACCTGGTTGTCCCAGTCAGGTGCTGTCAGTCCTAGATCTATTTCCCCTTGGTTTTGCACTCACTTTGTTTTAAAGTTTGGTACCTTGTGGTAACCCCAGCCACAGCAGCTCATGGTATCAGTTTCGGGTAGAAAAATTGTTCTGTGAAGTGATACCAGTGCAGGCAGAATTTTATTCCTGATCCTCTAGAGACTTTCTGCTAGCAAATGCAAACTGCAGTTTTCTAGTGGCAGTTTGAGTAAATTTTTCTAGAAAATGCAAACAAATATTCAAATTTTCCCTTTGCAGTTGAGAGTACTAGAAATTTTCCTTTTTTATGGGAAAAAAAAAATGTTTAATTCAGCTTAGATTTAGGCAGTGGAAATGTTTTGGCCTGTACACAACATGCACGTACACACAAACATGAAACCAGTCTGAGGCAGACGAAAAGCGAGGAAAATTGTTGTTAAGTTATTAAGTCGGTGGTAAGTCATAAGCAATAGAAAA